AGAGGCAGTAACTTCCCCATTTCATAGACAGAAGGGGGAAAGTTAACGTTTGAGTGTCTGCTAGGTTCCAAGCACTAAACAAGGAGTTTCCTACATATTTTCAATTCATGAAATCCCCAGAACAACCCTATGAACTAGGTATAATTACATCTGTTTTTATAGGTGAGGAAACTGGTGCTGAGGGAGGCGAGGGAACTTGCCTGAGGACATGGGGCAGGCGACTCCGAGGTCTGGACTGTCCACTAGGTTGAACCATACAAAATCACGTTTTCTGACTGATTTGGTCTACTAATACAACATTATCATAGAATTCAACTTAAGGTTCCCCAAATGCATTCACTTCCCATTATACTCTCTCGTTAAAGGATGTGCACTGCCTTTTGTTATATATACAACATATGTAAAGCAAGTATGGCACAATGATAATAACTGTACTTAGTTGTGGGGTGTATGGGTAATCCTTACATTATTATATTATAACCCTTACATTATAATCCTTACATTATTCTTGTAACATATTTTGTATACGTTTGAAAATTTCTAGTAAAAAATCAGAGCTGGGGAGGCTGGGGGGTCTGGGGGGAGTGGATTATGAAGAAATTCCTGAGAAAACCTTTTGTAAAAAATTATTTGATTTACCCAGATAGCATTTTTGCATTGCCCAAACTCAATTACTTCACTTTACGAGGATAAACAATTTACATCTAAAATCAATTCCATGGTACTCACGGGCTGGCCAACTTCTCCTGTAAAAGATAGATAGTAACGAGGCTCGAGAACCCACACACAAACTCCGGTTTTGTTTTATTTTCAGCTCTTTAAAAATGTAAAAGCCATTCTTTGCAAGGAGGAAGGCCAGTACAAAAACAAACTAAGGGTCATGATTTGCCAGCCCCTGATACAGATGGAATGTCATAGAGTTCTATCTAAATAATAAAGTCAGAGTCAGGAAAACAAGTCAGAAACTTTCCTTTCTGGAATGATTTCAAAACAGTCTGACCTGGGTGCAGGGAAGTGGATGACCCTCACAGCGACTCTGTACAGGGAAGGGCTTCCTTAGGGAGCGGATTCTTTTTTTTAATGTTCTTTAGTTCTTCTTCTTATTTTTATTTTTTAATTTTTTTTATTGTTGTTCAGACTGAGGAATGGGTTTGCTTTTGTTTTTGTTTTGTTTTTTTTTTTGCAGCCTTCCTTTTGAACCCTGAAGTCCTCAAGGGACACAATGCAGTATTCAATGAACACTTCTAACAGCATGACAATTGTCACATGTTTGCAGCTTTGTCACACATTGACCCCAGACCTCTAATGTTCAGGGGAGAGAAAGCCCAGTCATTTGAGCATTAATCTCTCAAACTTCAACTATACACACTTGACAAAAGCGACAGAGCAAGAGAGATGATTATAGCAAAAACACATCCACTATAATTCCAGCTGGCATACGCACTCTCTTTTATGCTTGCTATTACTGTAAGTTATGCACTTATGCACAAGTATCACTGTTTACACGGGGATGCATATGCGAAGCCATGTGCCTGTGAGAAGCCGTGTGCACTGCACTTTGCGGGCGAAGTGAAAGAGCTCCCAGGGCGATTTGGAGGCTCGTCAATTTCCATCTGCTAAGCTGCCTGTAGGTGCCAGTCTTTTCTCTCTGCCACTGTAGTTTTTATTTTTAGTACAGGCCCACCGCTCTCATTGTCTCCATCTAGTTTTGACGGCTCCACCTAAGCACTCCGAAATCTACATCGTCCACTGACCACGGCTCCCCGTCCTCTCATGCCCTCGCTCTTACTGGACTTGCCTTCTTATCTTAAGAAGGACAGCCAGGCCCTTGATGCTTACAGTTTCAAGCCCGCCAACCCAGTGAGCCCCCAGCGGTTATCCTCTGTACTGCCCTTCTCCTCACACTCTCGGTTTTCTGGCACCGATTCCATCCCAACACGACCTTCCAACCTCTTGTTTTTCTCTCCCATTGCAATCCCACCTCTAGACACAGGGCAGTGGAGGAGAGCAAAAGCCAAGAAATCAGACTTCTGCATTTAAATCTTTCTTACTTGTATAATGTTGGCCAAGTTAGGCAACCCTCTGTGCCTCAGCTACTTCCACTGTACAATGGGTATGGTAATAGTCCTCATAGGCTGCGGGTAGGTGTAGAACCAGGCTGGTAAGAAGAAAATCAGGCCCCAGCCCCAGACGATGCCCTTTAGTTTGACAAGAACTATGAACTTAAAATTCCAGGCTCATAAAAAAACTCAGGAAATTTTTAGTGGACAAAGAGCATGGTGTCCCTCCACGGTTGCAACCAACAGTTAGAAACTGATCCCACTCAGACAAGGAGATGAGAGTTTGTTGAACAAAAGGAAGAATAGTTTTCAGCTGGGGTCCTATGTTTTTAAATGTGGCTATATGGGTGGTGATTAAGGAGTTAGAACACTCTCTGGTTCTAGAGAGTGGCACAGCCTTAAGCACTTTTTAAAAAAATTTTACTGAATTTATTGGGGTGACTGACATTGGCTAACAAAGTTATATAGATCTCAAGTGTATTCTGCTTTCCAAAGACAGGTGTTTAAAACCTGCATGGACCCATTGACTGGCAACCCTCCCCTTCCCGAGACCCTCCAAGCTGAGTTTCCTGCTGTTTGGCCCTTGCCATCAGCCAACCGCAAACCTGGAACAGTGCAAGGCCCCCTCCTGGCCAGCCTGGTCTCTGGAGACAAGTCCCAGAAAATGCACCTGCTAATGCCCATCTGCAGCAGCCCAATGTGCTCAGATCAAACCTAGCCATGCGCTGACCAAAATGGAGAGCGGAAATCTCCCTCCGTTGTTACCAACCTTCAGTGCATGCAGCTGCTGGGTCATATTTTTGTGCCTCGTTGCTCTGTGGGACTCAGACAATAACTCACTCATCTTGGGTTTGTATCCTGCCTACCCAGACAGCAACACGTGTCCACGTCCTGTATTGGCCAGCCTCTCAGTTTCAACAGCAGGCTGTTTGCTGTCCAAGCCCTTTATTTATTTAAAGAGACCTTTGCTATAATCTCTGCCTCCATGTTGTCTAACCATACTATTTCCTAATCATGGCCTGGACTTAAACCCTATCTCTCCACTCTGATATAGCTCTAACACTCATGAATGTGTTTGCAAAAGGCCAATGGATAGTGGCATTGCACACATAAGAGAATCCATCCTCTAACTCAACATCTTCATTTAGGTAAAAATCAAATCCTGTGTGTGCAAATGTCTTTAGATCAAGAGCCTTGCCTTCACCTGAGCCTACAGAGTCCAAAGTCAGGCACTGTCCCTGATGAATTTATTCATGGGGATGCGGTGGAGAAGCAGAGGCCTATAAGAATCTTTGGAACAAATTTTAGGTAAACAAAAATTGATATCCAAGACCCACTTCCACAGATTAAGAAAGAAAGCATTAGGGAGATAAATTAGGTCATATTCTGGCTAGTCCATTAACACTGGGAGAGGGCTAAGCTCAGAATCATTGGAGAAGCAGGTGCTAGAATCCAAAGGAAGTGTTAGGGGTCTGTCTGGGTTTGTCTTCAGTGAGGTGCTAAACCAGTTATGGTTCACCTATGAGATGAGCTCTGACTGAGCTTTAATAAAGAGAAAAGATCTGGTGAGGGACGTAAGTATGAGAAGACTTCATAGGAAGGAAGGCATGGAATCAGCTAACAGGGGGTTTCTCTTTGAGGAAAGAAGGGTTGTAGAGAGCAGGGGGGAAAGGACGCTGATGTGAAATGTGTTGAAAGATGCTGCATAATAATCAACATCTGAACACAAATGTAATTGTTAGGACACTTTATCCACAGGATCCTGTTGAAATTCACAAAAAAAGTTTGTGGAAGGGGCAATAGGTATGAAGTTTTTATTATCATTTTAGAGAAGGGAAGTAGAGACTAGAGAGGAAGGTAACTTACTTAAGGGTGAAGGAGGGACCTGACTATCTAGTTCTCAGGCTCTAAAACCCGAGTTCTTTCAGTTACATCGGTGGGTGGGTCCCAAACAACATTCTGAAAGCCGCTAAAATTAGAACTCGTTCTATGTGATTCCAATTGCATAAAGTTCAAGAAAAGATAAAATAGATGTGATGATAGAAATCAGAACAGTGCTTTCTACAGGTGGTTGAGATCGACTGGGAAAGGACATGGGGAAACTTTCTGTTCTACATCTTGATCAGGGTGTAGGTTACAGGCAAGCACACCGTTTTGAAAACACATGAGACTGTAAATTTTGGAGCTGTGCATTTCATGTAGATACATTTATTTCGCTTCAATAAAATATGAATCAGTACCTCGATTACAGAAGCTTTTAAATAAATTCAGATTTTGAATTTTCAAATTTGACTTGAAGTTTGTGTCTACCCACCTATAAGTCTTAAGGTTCTAGTTTGTGTCCAGAACTACTTCACAGAAAGTTCTTGAATCCATCATCCCAGAGGCACTCTATGACAAAGCCCAGGCTCAAAACATACAAATTAAACTCTGCAGCCATGATTCATACTTGAATTCTGCCAACAGCACAAATGAAGCATACGAAAACTAGTTCAGGGACGCAGGCCCAGAGAGGGACACTGCCTGGCATGCTCGTCAGTAAATAGAAGCACTGTTTGCACTTGGCACGAGCTGCTTTTGTTGGGGTGGGAGGTGGGGCGGACAAGAGGGGAAAAGCTGCTACTTTTATCACAATTCGGTCCACACCCTTCCAATTACCTGGGCCTGAATTTTTACCTAGTGACAGTGGGCTGGAGCTGAGTAGCAACTACCAGATGCTCCTTTATCTAGTCCAAAGCTGTCCCAGGCCCGCCGCGCCCTACTGACCATTGACCCCTCACCTATTTCTTTACATTTACTGCTTAACCCGGTGATTTTTTTTTTAATTTCAGATTCAAACTGATTAAATTCTAAACAAAACGCTGGATGTTTTACCTGCAAACTGAATAGCACTGATAATTCTTTTTGAATAAAAACCAACGGGATATAGGCGATACTTACTCGCAGAGAAGGATTCCGTTTTCTAACCCTGTCCGAAAATCTTTATCACCAAAGCTCCTGCCAGTTACTTGCTGGAAAAGAAAACAAAAAGAGACCATAAATTTTTCATTTTTTTAATCAGAAAGCACAGTCATTATATGCTTGTATATATTTACCAGCCTTGAAGTAACTGGTAGCATTTTAAGAATGGCAAAAATGAGCCCCAAATTTCCTTTCCATGTGTAGTTTTGCTTAGATCAGCTAATCTTAAATTAAGACCATTTCTTTGAAGGGGTTTTTTTCCTATCTATTACCTTTAAAAATATCTGTTCTTCCTGGTAAATATGTTACTTTTGGGGAGTTTGGCCATGATACGTCAAGGCCAAGCCTCTTTCATCCATACACTTTCACAAAACCCTGTAGGAAGTACCATCTAAGGATGAAGTGTCTATTTGTTAAAATGTTAAGGGGGCAGGAGGGGAAGAAAGGCAGACCCCTAGCCTTCAGAGACTAATAGTAAGACAGGAAGATTACAGCTAATATCCAAGGTAGCATGATGTGACAGAGGAAAGTAAGATCTGGGAAGGAACGACCTCCAACAGCACAGGGCAAAGGGCCGGTCTCGACACCTCTCCGGAGCCCTCCAGCTTAGGCTCTCGGGCGCTCGTGTGTTCATGTGATAAATACTTTTTGATCATCTACAGCATGCCATGTAAATATCCACACTAGTAACTCTAAAGCAACGTCTTAAATAGCAAAATAAAAAAGTTACAGCTAATGAGCCAAGAAATGAGATTAAAGGAAATCACAAAACACTCTAACAATTTTAAAAAGGCAAAAAAAAATGGAGAAAGGAATACAGAACAGGTGGAATAAATAGAAAGGAAATAGTAATACTGTAGACTTAAACCTAACCATATCAGTAGATGAATTACATATAAATAGCCCAATTATCCCCAATTAAAAGACAGATTGTCCGATTGGATAAAAAAAGCAAGATTCAACAATGTGATGCTTATGAGAAATGCACAAGATAGAAACACGTTAAAATATGAGAATAGAATAAGATACACCATGCCAACACTAATGAAAAGAAAGTTGAGTAGTCACATTAATGTCAGACAAAGGAACTTTTAGAACAAAGAATATTTAAGGGACAGAGAAAGTTATTTCGTAATGACAAAGGATTTAACTCATCAGGAAGACACAGCAATCCTAAACATTTTCGCACTTAATTAATAAAAAAAGCCTTCAGAACTTCCAGCCAAGATGGAGGCATAGGTAGACATGCTTTCCTTCCTCACACAACCAAAAGCAGGACAACAACAAATTTAAAAACAAAAACAACCAGAACTGCCAGAAAATTGACCTGTGTGGAAGTCCCACAACCAAGGAGTTAAAGAAGAAACATTCATTTGGACTGGTTGGAGGGACAGACACAGGCAGCTGGGGTGGAAAGAACTAATGGCAAGGCAACAGACTGGGCCAGGCGAGGCGGCTGGTGGACTGGGCACGTGGATAAGCTGGGAGGGACAACTAGGGAGCAACACAGACAGCACAACCCAGGGTTCCAACACAGGAAACTAAAGCCTCAAAACTTCTGGCTGTAAAAATCTGTGGGGGTTGCAGCAGTGGTAGAAACTCCCAACCTCACAGGAGAGTTCGGTGGGAGACCCAAGGGTCCTAGAAAGCACACAGACGCACCCACACAGGAATCAGCACCAGAAGGGCCCAGTTTGCTTGGGGGAAGGGGGAAGTGACTGAAATATGACAGAGAGCAGAGCAAGTGCCATTATTCCCTCTCAGACCCCTCCCCCACATACAGCATCATGACACAGCGAAGTGGGTTGCCCCACCCTGGCAAATACCTAAGGCTCTGCCCCTTTCAACATTACAAGTGCACTCAAAGAAATATGGCCCAAATGAAAGAATAGATCAAAGCTCAGGAAAAGAACTAAGTGGTGAGGAGATAACCAACCTGTCAGATGCAGAGTTCAAAACACTGATAATCAGGATGCTCACACAAATGGGCGAGTATGGATACAAAACAGAGGAAGGAGTGACAGCTCTGCAAAGTGAAATAAAGGAAAATGTACAGGGAACCAACAGTGAAGGGAAGGAAACAGGACTCAAATCAACGGTTTGGCCCAGAAGGAAGAAATAAATATTCAGCCAGAACAGAATGAAGAAACAAGAATTCAAAAACTTGAGGAGATGCTTAGGAACCTCCAGGACAACTTGAAATGTTCCAACATCTGAATCATAAGGGTGCCAGAAGGAGAAGAGGAAGACCAAGAAATTGAAAACTTATTTGAAAAAATAATGAAGGAAAACTTCCCTAACCTGGCAAAGGCAATAGACTTCCAGGAAGTCCAGGAAGCTCAGGGAGTCCCAGAGAAACTGGACTCAAAGAGTAACACACCATGAAACATAATCAAATTACCCAAGATTAAAGATAAGTAGAGAATCTTAAAAGTAGCAAAAAGAAAGGAGAGAATTACCTACAAAGGAGTTCCCATAAGACTATCAGCTGATTTTGTGAAAGAAACTTTACAAGTAAGAAGTGGCTGGAAAGAAGTATTCAAAGTCATGAAAGGCAAGGATCTACATCTGAGATGACTCTATCCAGCAATGCTATCAGTAGAATGGGAGGGCAGATAAAGTGCTTCCCAGATAAGACCAAGTTAAAGGAGTTCATCATCATCAAGCTTTTATTATATGAAATGTTAAAAGGACTTATCTAAGAAAAAGAACAAGATCAAAACTATGAACAGTAAAATGACAACAAACTCACAACTATCAACAACTGAACCTAAAAAACAAACAAAGCAAACAACTAGAACAAGAACAGAATCACAGAAATGGAGATCACATGGAGGGCTACTGGTGGGGAGTGGGAGGGGAGCGAATGGTGGAAAGGCACAGGGAATAAGAAGCATAATTCATAGGTATGAAACCGACAGAGGGGGGAGTTAAGAATAGCATAGGAAATGGAGAAGCCGAAGAACTTATATGTATGACCCATGGACATGAACTGAGGATGGGGAATGATAGTGGGAGGGCAGTGCAGGGCAGAGGGGGATGAAGGAGAGAAAAAAATGGGAGAATTGTAATAGCATGATCTATAAAATATACTTGCAAAATAATTTAAAAAGCTTCAAAATACATAAGCCAAAATAGATAGACTTGTAAGGAGAAATAGACAAATTCACAATTAGAATCAAAGATTGAATCTCTCTCTTTGAAAACACAGAATAAGCAGACAGAAAATAGAAAGCTTCAAAATACATAAGACAAAACAGATGGACTTGCATGGAGAAATAGACAAATTTACAACTAGAATCAAAGATCGAATATCTCTCTGAAATCAGATAGAATAAGCAGACAGAAAATCAATAAGGATAAGGACGAGTCGAACAACACTATTGACCGAGTAGACTTAATTGACATTTCTACAATACTCCAACCTATAACAGCAGAATACCCATTTTTCTTCTTAAGTTCACAATGAACGTTTATTGAAATAGATTAATTTCTGGGTTAGAAAACAAGTCTCCACAAACTTAAAAGAACTCATTTCATAAAAAAGTATGTTACCTGACTGACCACAATGGAATCAAATCAGAAACTAACAACAGAAATATCTGTGGAATAACCCACAAATAATTTTAAACTAAGTAGCACAATTCTACACAACCCATTGATTAGAAAAGGAATCAAAAGAAATTAGAATGTATCCTGTAGTGAAAGAATATGGTGATATACCAATGTATAGGAAGACGCTCAAGTAGTATTTGGGGAAACTGTATACCACAAAACAGCTATATCAGAAAAGAAGATCTCAAATCAGTGAATTTTGCTTCCGCCTTAAGCAAATTAAGCCTAAATTAAGCAGAAAGGAGGGGAAATTACTTTATATCAGAGTTGAAATCAATCAAACAGAAAAATTGATGGTATCAAAAGCTGTTTCTTTGAGAGCAATAAAATGACAACTCTTCAGCCAGGTCGATAAACCATTAGCTGATAAAATTGATAACCTTTGGTTTTTAGCCAAAAAAAAGACACAAATTATCAACATCAGGAATGACAGAGATGACATTATTTCATATCCCACAGACATTAAAAGGGTAACCAAAAACAGTATGAATAAATGTGTTAGGTAGCAGCTAGGAATGAGCAGCAGAGCGGGGCTAAAGGCAGGGCCCTCGCCGTTACAATCTAACAAAGAAGTTAACACAGGAGACAAGGAGCAAAAGGGAGACAAGTCTCGCCCATTAACTCAGCAGTCCTGAGCTCGGTTTGTTAAGATTGCTGGTGTCTCGAACATAAACAGCACAAGACGAAAGGGATAGTTCTTGAGATTTTATGCTGGGAAAGGGAGCCTCTGGAATAATTTCTCTAAGACAAAGAGCCTTTCCTACCTGAGAAAGAAAGCTCTGTGGCTGTACATTATTCCCAGGATTTAGAAGGGGAGGGAGGAAGCTGGAAGCTGACTCAGGTATACAAACCCTGAACCCCAAGAGCTGGCATATTTGGATTAGTTACGTACCCACTTGTACCCACCCGGCTCAAGTGTATAGAGCAAACTTACTAACAACTTTCTTTCCTCAACATGTGGGGCATTTAGACTTGCTGGGTGCCTGCTCTCAGCTCTGTGCTTGTATGTGTTTCATAAATAAACTGCTATTTCATTTCCGCTAGACCTTTTGTCTCTTGCTTGAATTATTCTCTTGCAAGTGAGACAAGAACCCAGGTGGGGGAGGGGGCCTCTTGACTCGGGTCTCTCTCTCCCCACCCGGAACAAATTCACCAACTTAGATGAAGGGGATAAATTCCTTGATATAAACAATCAAAGTTCACTCAACAAAGAAATAGATCATCTCCACCCATCTCCTCCAAAAAATGCCAGGCCCCGAAGGCTTGCCTGGTAAACTATACCAAATACGTAAGGAAGAAATAATGCAATTCCACACAAACTCTTCCAGGCAACTGATGAGGAAAGAACACTCACAAATGCATTCTGTTAGGCCAACATTACCTTGCTTCCAAAACCCGAAAAAGACATTACCAGACACACACATAGAGGAAATAG